GTTTTTTAAGAGTTCTCCACACTGCTTTCCATAGGGGTTGAACAAGTTTGCAGCCCCACCAGCAGTGGATGAGTGTTCCCCTTTCCCCACATCCTCTCCAACATTTGGTATCATTTGTTTTCTTGATCTTAGCTAGTCTGGCTGGGGTAAGGTGAAATCTTAAAGTAGTTGTTAACTGCATTTCCCTAATTACTAACGATGTTGAACACTTTTTAAGGTGTTTCTTAGCCATCCTTATTTCTTCATTTGAGAACTCTGTTTAGATCTTTTGCCCATCTTCTAATTGGGTCATTTGGTTTCACATTTGGTTTTTAAGTAATTTGCATTTCCCTAATTACTAGTGATGTTGAACAATTTTTAAGATGTTTCATAGCCATCTTTACTTCGTCTTTTGAGAACTCTCTGTTCAGCTCCTTAGCCCATCTTTTAATTGGGTTGCTTCTTGTCTTGGTTCTCTGTTTTTTGAGTTTATTATAAATTCTGGTTATTAAACCTATGTTAACTGTGCCACTGGTGAAGATTTTCTCTCATTCTGTGGGTTTTCTGTTTGCTTCCTTGGATGTCTCCTTTGATGTACAGAAGCTTTTTAGTTTAATGAGGTGCCATTTGTTAATTCTTGCCCTTGTTTCCTGAGCAATTGATGTCCGGTTTAGAAAATCCTTTCCTATACCTATATCTTGTAGATTTTTCTCAATGTTTTCTTCTAATAGTTTCAGAGTTTCAGGCTTTACATTTTGATCTTTGAGCCATTTGGAATTGACTTTTGTGCAGGATGAAAGACAGGGGTTTAGTTTCATTCTTCCACAAGTGGGGACCCAGTTTTGCCAGCACCATTTGCTGAACATGCTGTCTTTCCTCCAGTTAATGTTCTTGGCCCCTTTGTCAAATATCAGGTGGCTGAAATTGCATTTGCTCATATTTGGGTCTTCAATTTTGTTCCATTGGCCTATGGGTCTATTTTTGTGCCAGTACCATGTTGTTTTATGACTATAGCTCTGCACATATACTAAAATTGGAATGATACAGAGAAGACTAGCATGGCCCCTGCGCATATAGGTTTTTAAAGTACTCCCTTATAATGTTCTGGATCTTTTTGGTGTCTGTGGTGATGTTTCCCCTTTCATCTCTGATTTTGTTGATTTGGAGGTGCTTGTTCTTTCTTTTGGTTAACTGGGCTAGCAGTCTGTCAATCTTGTTTATCTTTTCAGAGAACCAGGTCTTGGATTTGTTGATTCTTTGTATTGTTTTCTTTGTTTCTATTTCATTAATTTCTGCTCTGATTTTTGTTATTTCTTCTTGTCTGCTGGGTTTGAGCTTCATTTGTTGTTGCTTTTCAAGTGTTTTGAGTTGCAATGTTAATCATTTATTTGTGTTCTTTCTGAGTTTTTAATGTAGGTACTTAGAGCTATAACTTCCCTCTAAGGACTGCTTTCGACATGCCCCAGAGGTTTTGTTGTGTTGTATTGTCCTTTTCATTTAGTTCCAAGAATACTTTTCTTTTGACCCATTCATCATTCAGGAATTTGTTGTTTAATCTCCATGTGTTCATATAGTTACTAGGGTTTCTTTCAGTGTTGATTTTAAGCTTTATTTCATTGTGGTCTGATAGAATGCATGGAATTATTTCAATCTTTTTGTATTTGTTGAGGTTGTTTTGTGCTGTAGTATATTGGTTGATTTTGGAGAAAGTTCCATGGGGCACCGAATAGAAAATATATTCTTTGGCGCTTTGGTGGACTATTTGGTACATGTCTGATAGGCCCATTTGATGTATGGTATTGTTTAATTCAGATGTCTCTCTGTTAATTCTCTGTCTTGTTGACCTATCTAATGGACATAATGGGGCATTAAAGACCCCTAATATTAATCAGTTTGGATTAATCTGGGTCTTAAAGTCCTATAGTACTGTTTTATGAAGTTGGGTGCACCAGAGTTTGGTGAATACATGTTCATGACTGTAATATCTTCTCAAGTCTATTATTCCTTTGATCAGAATGAAGTGGTCCTCCTTATCTCTTCTAATTAGTTTTAGTTTAAAGTCTATATTATCAGATATTAGAATTGCAATGACTACTTTTATCTTTGTACCATTCGCTTGGAATATTTTTTTCCATAATTTCGCCTTCAGGTAGAGCCTGTGCTTGAAAATGAGATGAGTTTCTTCCAGACAACAAAAAGATGGGTTTTGTTTCTTAATCCATTCAATTAGTCTGTGTCTTTTGACTGGGGGTTTCAGTCCATTGATATTAGAGTTATTAATGAAAGATGTCTACTGTTTCCTTTCATTTTTATTTCTGTTCATATTCTTGATATAGCTGTGCATTTCCACAGTTATACCCTCATTAAGTTTCTTTCTGAAACCATTTGGATATAGCTGTTCCTTTCTTCAGCTCTTTGTATTGCTTTCAGAACTCTCTGATTTTGTGGGCATGAATTCTTTCAGTCTATTTATGTCATGGAAGAGTTTTCTTTCCCCTTTGACTATAATAGACATTTTGGCTGAAAGTAATCTGGGTTGGCATCTGTGGTCATTTAGAAATGGGAATACTTTGGTCCCGTCTCTTTTGGCTTTCATAGTTTGCACGGAAAAGTCAGGTGTAATTCTGATGGGTTTTCCTTTATATGTGACTTGTTGTTTCTCTTTTGCAGCTTTCAGTATTGTCTCTTTGTTCTGTATATTTAGTGCTTTTACTGTCATGTGCCGTGAAGAGTTTCTTTTCTTGTCCTATCCCATTTGATGTTCTATATGCTTCTTATATTTGTATGGGCATGTCATTCTTTAATTTTGGGAAATTCTCTTCTACAATCCTGTTGAAGATCTAGGCCGTACCATTATCTTGAGATTCTTCTCCTTCTTTTATGCCTATGATTCATGTGTTTGGACTTTCTATGGTGTCACACAATTCCTGCATATTCCATTCTTGTGGTTTTTTAAATTTTTCATAATTTTTGCTTGAGTGGTCTAATTTGTCCACTTTATCTTCCAGTCTTGATAAACTGTTTTCCATTTCATTCATCCTATTGGTGAGGCTTTCTCCTAACATTTCTAATTGGCTTTCTGAGTGTTTTACTTCTTCTTCTTTTCAGCCTGAACATTCTTCAATATTTCTAACTCTTTTCTGAATTCATGCAGAAGTTTATCCCTATCTTCTTTCAGTTCTTTGATTTCTTTGCTTGTGTGTTCTTTAAATTCACTGAATTCTTTGATCATGTTTATAATTTTTCTTTTGAGTTCCATCTCCTGTGTTATCTCCAGGAGTTTCTCATTGCACTCCTCTAGAGGACTGATGGTACTTGGTGTGGATATATTATTTTTATTTTTCATGTTATTTTTTCTCTGTGACTTTGATATTTGGATTTCTTTTGTAGTTTCTGATTCTTGTGTGAGACTTAAGCCTTCCTTTGTTAAGTTTAGGTCTGCTTCTTTTTGCAAACTTTATGTCCCTTTGTGGTTTGCTTGTTGGGCATGCAAAACTGGTTGGTCTAGGCTTCAAGTTCTCTCTTTTGATTTTATATTGCAGTGGCCAAATTGCTTTTGTCTTCAGGAATTCCCACAGAGGCCTAAGTCAGATGAGGATCAGATGCTCTCAGGCTTTCTTCTAAGGTCTGAATCCCTCCAGGAAAGATGCTGCCCTCAGGAATTTGTGGGCTGGGCTGGGCTGGGAGCAGGGCCCAGGAAAGATGCTGGTCCCAGAAAGCTGGTGGCTGTGCCACCCAGGGAATCAAAGGAAGGCGGGAGCAGGAAGAGGCCCTGAGAGCTCCTGGGGACTACTGGGAGGAACTGGGTTAGTCTGGATGCAAAGGATCAGGAAGCAGTGGTGGCTCGGGCCGAGAGTTTAGCCCCAGTGTCTGGGGTGCTAAGACAAGAAATGGGCCAGTACCCAGGCCAGGAGTATAGATGGGGTGGGGGAGGGTGAATGAGGCTGGGGGAGTCAAGGCGTGGTGGGCACTGTGGGACTTACCCAGGAAAGATACTGGCACCAGGAAGTCGGTGGCTGCACTGCCCAGTAACACAAAGGTAGGTGGGGGCAGGACCCAGCCCAGAGGGCTCCTGGGGACCCCGCAGGGGGGAACAGGGTTGGTCTGGATGCAAAGAATCAGGAAGCAGTGGGGACTCTGGGCCAAGAGGTCAGCCCAGGGGTCTGGAGTGCCAATACAAGAAATGGGCCAGTACCCAGGCCAGGAGGAGAGATGGGGTGGGGGAGCTAGGAGGGTGAAAGAGGCTGGGGGAGTCAAGGCACAGTGGCGGCCGCGGGTCTTACCCAGGAAAGATGCTGGCACCAGGGAACCTCGGGAGCATCATTTCTTTTACAGCTTTGTTATTCTTCCTAGGACCATGCAGAGGAAGGAAGGGCCAGCATTTATCAGTCGGTATTCACCAATTCCTCCAAGGAAATGATGTGTTTTCCAGACTTCCCCTATCCTGATGATTACCCAAACTACATGCACCACAGCAAGCTCCAGGAATACATAAAGACATTTGCTCAAAAGAAGGATCTTTTGAGATACATACAATTTGAGGTAGGGCCTTGTACCAGTTACTGGTGGTATTATGTGAATGAGGAATACAGCACCAAACAGAAGTTGATACCAAGTGTTTTGACTCCTTACCAATAAATTGTTGGGTTAGATTATAAACCATATTTATACACTGTATTTTTCCCCTAGATTCATGTTCCCCTAGTCTCTGAAGTTTTTACATGTGTTGGGAAATGCTACAGGCAACTATTCCATCACAGTGAACTTTCCACCATCACACTCTGACTCTTAGGAAATAATCCAAACTTCTTTAGTCCATATTTAGATTTCTGTGGGTTCAATGTCAATGAGTTATGTATGGTTTAACTAAATGTGGCTTTTGTTAGGACCTCTGACATTATGGAAAGAATAATGACTTAAATGAATGGCTAATATACTCATCACTCCTGTCCTTCATCCACTTAACTCATTACATTTCTCCTTGGTCTTAAAAGGATTATGAAATAGAGACATTGATTGTATAAGTAGCAGTAATATTTTGTTTGTTTGAAAGTCTTGCCTTAATTAATTACTATTAAATGTGCAGTGCACATATATAGTGAGGGAGCAATCAACAAAAGTATGAATTGAAGCTATAGTTACCTAATTACTTTATCTGGAAGAGTTCCAAATGTAAAATGAGAGTAAAATTTTCCAGCTGTCATTATTTTTCTTAATATTTTAGGGAGTAAGCAAATAAAGTTTATTGAGAAATAATCAGTTCCCTTCAGCCAGGAGGGCACTCAAAAATGAGTTCCCTCAAGCTGTCATTTTATTCCATTCATTTATTCATTCCATTCATCATCTGTGGCATTTCAAATGTCATAAAGCACCTCAGTTTATGATAGTAATATCTGCAAATATCCAAGCATGCTTGCATTGTGCTAATTCCAGTATATCAAAAGTAAGAGGAGGAAGAAAAGAGGAACAGGAACAGGAACAGGAGGAAGAGGAAGAGGAAGAAGAGGAGGAAGAAGATGAGGGAGGAGAAGAGGAGGGGGAGCAGGAAGAGGAGGAGGAGAAGGAGGAGGAAGAGGAAGAGGAGGAGGAAGAGGAAGAGGAGGAAGAGGAGGAGGAGGAGGAGGAGGAAGAGGAAGAGGAGGAGGAGGAGAAGGAGGAGGAGGAGGAAGAGGAGGAGGAAGAGGAGGAGTGATTGCTCAGAGGTTAATCACCAATACTATTCTTTCAGAAGACTTGAGTTTGGGGCTGGAGAGATGGCTCAGCAGTTAAGAACACTGACTGTTCTTGCAGAAGACCTGGGTTCAAATCCCCGCACCCACATGGCAGCTAACAACTGTCCGTAACTCCAGTTCCAGGGGATCTGACTCCACGGGCATTGCACAACATGGGTGCACTTACCTACATGCAGGCAATACATGCATACACATAAAATAAAAATAATAAATAAAATATTACAAAAAGAAGACTTGAGTTTGATTCCCAACCTATCCATACCAAATGGCTCACAAATCTGTATAACTCTAACTCCTGGGAGATTCATTCCTCTGACCTCTGCAGGCACCTGCACTTACATGCTCATACCCACACACATACATGTAGTTAAAGACAAAATAAATCTTTCAAAAGAAAAGAAGACAATTAACGGTCTCTTCAAGAAGCCTATAATTTAATTGGGGATCAAAATTGGTATTCAGAAAGAAACAACATAAGATTCAAGTAGAAATCAAATTTAAAATAAAAAAAGAATGTTTAAAGCTGTCTATTCATATTTCTTTTTTTTTCTTTTTTTTCAAATTTTTCTTTACATTATTTAAAAGTGATACTGTGGAAACCACAAAGCAAGTCACTATTCTGGGAAAGGAGAAGGTAAAATTTTAAATGCATTTAGAAGATGGTTTAGGTTAAGTGACTGACACGAGTACAGTTAAAGGTGAAACAAATGCCCCCTTGTCAGGAGAACACTGGCCAAAATCAGCAAGGAGGGAGGTGTATCTGTTAGAATTAGGGGTGACCATACAGATCCATAAACCAGTATATTCTGTGACTTTGAAAAACAGGGCCTGTAGAGATGGGTCAGTGGTTAAGAGTACTGGCTGTCCTTGCAGAAGACCTGGGTTTGAATCCCAGCACCCACATGGCAGCTAACAACCATCTGTAACTCAGTTACAGGAGATCTGATGCCCTCTTCTGTCCCCCGTGAGCACTGCACAACACAAGTACACTTACATACATGCAGGCATAACACTCATATACATAAAATAAAATTTAAAAATATTTTAAAAAACAGAGGGCTATTTTGCAACTAAGTGATGGCTAAGGTGGATACATTCAGAGCTGATGGATACATTCACCCTTCTTACATCATCAAGGTCATCTCATGGACCAGAACAGTTACTGGAGCATCTATACAAGAAAAACACTGGGAAAGAGTGAGATCCAAAGGGTATTCTCCCTGATGTGTCAGCTTCCTTCCACAAACTCTCCTGGAAAGTCTATGAAACATTGTCTGCTTATAATTCACAGGCCACTTCTGTTGCACAGGCACTTAAAAAATGGATTCCTTTATTACATACACAATCACTCCAAACAAAATCAGGTTCTGTTAGTAAAGAAGAAGAGGGATAGATACTGGGGAAGAAATTGGCAAAAGTCTGTGGAAATATCAGAAAGTAAAAGCAAAAAAAGGAAATTGGAACAAAATTATGCAGACTTTCAATTACAGTATTAGACATAGGGAAAAAGCTGGGAATGTTCCTCAGTAGTAGTGTGCTTACCCAGAATGTGTGAGGCCATGAATTCAATCACAAGGGGAGAGAGAGAGAGAGAGAGAGAGAGAGAGAGAGAGAGAGAGAGAGAACAAACATTATCATGTAGATAAACAATACACAAGAATATCTGTGGGTTTGAAGCTTAGGTACCTGTGAGGTTCATGTCATCTCTCAAGGAATGATGAAAGTCAAAGACAGCTAGGGAGAAAACAGAAGTAAGCCGATCATAAATGTGCTTCATTGGAAGAAGCATTAAGTGGCTTTCCAATTGAAAAACCAGAATAGATAGCAGAAGAAGACCAAGGCTCATAATATATGGGTGTTTATGGTATAGTTGTTCATAGCTCCAGAGATTAGTGTACAGAGCACAAAGAAAGACCAAGGATCAAACCTTGAGACACACCAATGTTTACCGAATGAATGGAAGATGAAGTCAGAGAAGGAGGATGCCAAAACAATATAGAGCAGCCATAAGCAAATGACATAGATTTGTTGCACAGCTCCTCTCATAAAAAATGCTCAGTGCTATTTACCCTCATATCAAGCAACAAGATGTCCAAAGTAAATAAATCCCAGTGAATAGTTTCCTTTGTGAGATCTGAAGACTCTAAAGATTTGCTGTGACCCTTCCACTTGTGTCTTTCTATCCATTTTTCATCTACCAGTTCAGCTCATAGCAATCACCTTCTCCACAGAAATACTGCAAGAAAGAAAAAATAAATTTAGAATTAAACAAATAAATTATTTTTCTGGCTTTCCTTAAGAGTCTGGTCTCCAGTATAAAGAAAGGCCCCAGCTTCTCAGTCACTGGCCAGTGGGTTGTTGTTACTGAAAAGGATGGGAAGCAAGACTCTATTCTCTTTGATGCTGTAATGATTTGTTCAGGACATCATGTGTACCCCAATATGCCAACTGAGTCTTTTCCTGGTAAGTTTTAAAAATAAATGTTTATCTGGCTGGAGACTAACATGCAAGTATGTAGTGTTGAATCATACCTGTTCACAGATTGTGTATAATAATTATGTTTAAGTTGCCAGAGATTTCAAAAGAGAAAGAATTATGTCTCATGATGTATTAAATACAGTAACAAGTTGCCTCCTAACCCCCTATATTCAAAGAATCAAAGTCAGAGATCAGACAGGCACTAGCTCTTATTTCATGGGTGGTAATTCATATTTAAGTCCTGACAGTGAATGAAGTCACTGAGCATTTATATACAAAAACAGCAGAGTCCTGCCAGCAAATAAAGGAAGATTTTTGTTTCATCTATAATTAACAAGTGAATTTCAGTAATCTCAGTGATGTGTGTGAATGTGTCCATGTGTCTGTGTCTGTGTAGCAACATACTCCATTACTATCCAAAAATGACAGATGTCAGTGAAATGAAACACACACCAAGTATTCCTGCCCCCTATTCCATTCTTCACAGAAGGTGGCGGCTCAGGAAGAAGTCATTAAACTGTTAATGTTAATAAACAGTACCTTCCATGGTTATGTGTGTGAAGTCAGGGTCAGAATGCCTGAGCATTTAAGTGTTTTTATCCCAGTTTCTTTTCTTTTTTTTTTTTTTTCTTTTTTGATGTTTTTTGGTGGCTCCCTGTAGCCCCACCTGGCCTAGAACTTGCTTTGTAGACCAGGCTGGCTTGAATCTCAGAGAGATCTACCTGCCTCTGCCTCTTGAGTACTGAGACTTCTTTTTTTTTCTTAACATGGGTTCTTGGGCTTGAACTCAGGTCCTCACACTTGCAAGGCAAACACTTTACTGACTATGCTATCTTCTTATCCCCCTTCTACCAACTTCTTCATCTTTTAAAACAGGTAGCTACCACTCAAGGATGTTCTCATGATTAAATTGTTAAAATGCATAAAGTATTCAGCAGGTGAGCTAGTTCATAGGCAGTATTTGATAATCATCATCATCATCACCATTATTATTATTTAAATTGTAAACCTTAAAAAGTTTAAGATGCCCCAGAAATAATTATTTAGGAATTGACTGGCAAAACTCACTAAATGGATAAATGTATTTCAACTATGGAATGTGTGTGTGTGTGTGTGTGTGTGTGTGTGTGTGTGTGTGTGTGTGTGTGTGTGTGTGTGTGATTAAAATACATTCTATGCTTTTTTTAAAAGTGAAAAGCTGAGTCTTCATTATTCTTGAAAATCATTTTAGGCCTAGACAATTTTCAGGGAAAGTACCTGCATAGTCGGGATTACAAGGGGCCAGAAAACTTCAAAAGGAAGAGAGTCCTCGTGATTGGTTTGGGGAACTCAGCGTCAGACATCGCTGTTGAACTTAGTCGTCTGGCTGCACAGGTATGTGACATAAAGCTTCAGGAGATAAACCAAGGATAGAAATATGCCATTAAAGCAACAGCCAAGGCACTGGGGAAAGTGCTGTCCTTGTCATGTGTTATATGCTATGTCATATGCTATGTGCTATGACATCTGCTGTATGAGACCTCTAAATCCCAGAGGACTTGGGTGATGCGTTCTCCTGAATGATGTGTCCCTGTTGTGAAGATGTAAGTTCCGATGAAATGGAAGCCAATGTCTGAGTGATGTATATGAATGTGTAAGCATTTATTTTATGTTTTCATTTTATATTTTAATAACTTTCAAATCAGTTCATTCCTAGTCATATTACCACACCATTACATGTGAGAACTATGTTAAGTTAAAATTACAGACATGGGTTAGACTAGCTAATGACTTTAAGGAACAATCAGTGGGTGGAGATTGGGATGACAGGTGCATGAACCATCATTAAAGGAAGTAATGACTCCTCCAATTAACCTAAGTGTAGTAATACCAAGAACAGAGAACCTAACTTAACCTGGATAAAGTCAAGGAACTCTTCCAGAGGACATGCCATCAGGAGTAGTAGACCCTGAAGAAACTCAGGGTATTTTTAGGAAGCAGGTACTTAATAAATTAAGGCCTAAATGAATGTAAAGAAAACTTTTGTTTCTTTAAGAGTTCCCTTGAGTTATCACAAAGCAAGTAAACATACCAACAACCAGGTTTGTTTGAGGCTGTGACAGCTTCTATGGCTTGGGATAAACAGATGTCCTGGGCACGTGTGTAGGGAAGACTAGAAGAGGAGATGAGGGACATAGCACAGAATTAAATCAGTGGCATCACCCCAGCCTAATTTCAGCTAGCTATTTAGTTTCTTTTCCCCTACTTATCCCAACCCCTCTACCACCTACCACTGCCAGGGTTCACTGAGTTGATAGGCTCTAGCAGACTGGCCATCTTAGCTTCTGAGATTAAGTATGCAAAATTCAAACCAGGCACAGTTAGAGCCCTCTTGTTCCAAGTGCTGTGTAATTCTTTCAAAAACTACACACCAGTCCTCTGGGTGGTAAGAATGGACTCTTGCCTCTGCCTAGCTGCAAATATAGCTTATTCATATAGATCCACATTTTAGAAGTGTTCCTAACTAGATATTGAAGGAAATATAAAAATCCACCTGAAGAATTGTGTCGTATTTTCTTATTTCTCACAAAGGATATTGAAATTTATGTTATCTCTCCCCCACCAGGTATTTATCAGCACCAGAAGTGGTTCCTGGGTCATGAGTCGAGTTTGGGATGATGGCTATCCTTGGGACATGGTATACGTTACCCGTTTTGCATCCTTCCTCCGGAATGTCCTGCCTTCATTTGTCTCTGACTGGTTATATGTCAAGAAGATGAATACTTGGTTTAAGCATGAGAACTATGGCCTGATGCCTTTAAATGGGTATGACAAATAATACATAGTTTGTCATTCAAAGTAGGAGAGTATTCGTTCAAGTGAATTATTTCTGCCTAGCTCTTGCTTTAGTTACCCCATTGAGACTAGTGGAATTAAAGTAAAAACTTCTCAGGTGACACGATTTATCCAAAGATCATGTACAAGTTGGAAATTGGTAGAGAAATGGGTGTAACCACATAAAGTGGGGATGGATTAGGCAAAAAATCATTCTGAGAAGCAGAATTCATTTAGGGCACCTACAAACCATTTCATAGAAATTAGAGGACTGAACAAACTAAAACTGGATTTTTTGAAAAATATCTTCACCATGTTTGTGGGTGAATGGGCTATCAATAATAATGTCTGCTTCTGAAGATTGTGATATTTAGGAAATTAAAATGTATATTTTAATTTGTAAATGATAAAACTTTACAAATACAGATTCTTCTTAGATGCAAATTACCTAATGTGCTTTTAATGACCATCTAGCAGAGTATTGCTAATCAATATGTCCCATCAAGTATGAGGCTTAAAACACGAGTGATAGTCCCTCTCATGTCCTGTACATTCTGAAGGATAATCAGGAAACACTGCACATGTAAAGCAATGGAACCTAAAAAAACACTAATGTGACCTGTAACATTTGTAAGATTCGTTTATTTACTTCCTCTGCATACAGAGCTCAATACATACTAATTAGGAAAGCATTCTAGATAGAAAAAATTAGCATATACATAGAAAAAATCTGATGGGTACGAAAAGAAAGGATTCAGTTGAAAATTTTACCTTCTGGCTCATGCTATCCAAAAGAATTCATTGTGTTTAGAGAAACAAACTAAGGAAAAGTAAGATGAACTTTAAATCAGAATACCAAATGTCAGGTTTAAGAGCCAATGCCTCCTCCCAAAGCATTTATCCTACCCAGGCTTAAAGACTGCTCTATCCCTCAATAAAAAGTAATGTTGACTTTATAAATTTAGAATTATGTTTAACAAAATAAAAATCTCAATGCTTGAGCTAGTTAAAATGTTTTGTCTTATAAAAGTAACTATAAATTCTATTTGGACTTTGCCATTTAGACAAAACATTTGTAAATTTGCTCATCCTCAGAACTAAGCTCCCTCTCTGAAAGTGTTCCAGTTACCCTAAATTGCAGTTGACATCTTTTCATTTCTCCCTTTGTTGGGAAAAGGAGAGTAAAACAGGTATTCTTTGATCTGCTTTTTATATACTTTATAAGGCAAAGGAAGAGGGAGAGTTAAAGAGGTGAAAAGCAGTATGAAAATACAGAGATAAAGGCCAAGATTTTATAGTGTTTCTATGTACGTGAGACACTTAAAGAAAATTCCAGAATCTCTGAAAGAAACTTAAGTCAACATGAAACATGTTTCATGAAAAATTTTATTGCCCAAACTTTGTTGAAGTGTAGTACAAAAGTTGTTTTCCTTCCTGTGACCATAAGGCCACTGACGGAAGAAGACCAAACATGGTAATAAAACATTCCATCACCACCAATCTGATTTCCCCATCCAAGACCTTCAAGTTATAATAGTAATGCACTTATTATGTTTGTGCCTATGCTATATATTGCTTTAATAGTTAATTATTTATTTAATTCTCACACAACAGCCCTGTGAGGACAATTCTACCATTATCCTCATTGTATATAGAGATTAACAAATACAGAGAAGCAGAAGCTAGTAAAAGAGTTAGGAATAAGCTTGTGCTTTCTGACTTTAGCATCTATATTCTTAGCCAATTTATTGTGCCTAGAATTAGTTTTTATTATAATATATTCATTGAATCTCCAAAGAGCATAAATACACATAATTTTAAGTTTCAAAGGGCAGTGGGGAAATTTCAGACAGAAATTCTTAGAAATAGTTAAAAACAAGAAAGGAATTTTCACAAGAGAAGAGCTGTCAGTGGCTGACATTGAACTCCTCAGATCTGCTTTTAGTAGCATGGGCCACTGCAGGTATTTCATGGAAATAGGCATTACGGCAACAGTGTTTATTTCTCATTTCTGTACAGTCCCCTGAGGAAAGAGCCCGTGTTCAATGACGAGCTCCCATCTCGTATCCTGTGTGGCACTGTGTCCATCAAGCCCAGTGTGAGAAAGTTCACAGAGACCTCCGCTGTGTTTGAAGATGGAACCATGTTTGAGGCCATTGACTACGTCATCTTTGCAACAGGCTATGGTTATGCCTACCCCTTCCTAGATGACTCCATCATCAAAAGCAGAAACAATGAGGTCACTTTGTTTAAAGGCATCTTCCCTCCTCAACTAGAGAAATCAACCATGGCAGTGATTGGCCTCGTCCAGTCCCTTGGAGCTGCCATCCCCACAGCCGACCTGCAGGCCCGCTGGGCTGCTAAAGTATTTTCAAGTAGGTGGGCCATTCTGTCTTTCAATCATTAGATCAATAATTAACTACTATAAGCTAGAGATCCAAAGAGAACAGGACAGGCAAGCAACAATAAGAGAAGTTTCTGGTGAAGTGAATTGGTCAAGGAGCTTTTTATTCCATCTAAGACAACAGCATAAACAAAGGCATAAACACAAGGAGTGTGTGTGTGTGTGTGTGTGTGTGTGTGTGTGTGTGTGATGCAAAGGCAGGAAGGAACAAAAGAGGAAGAAGAAAAGCAAGGAGGGCCTTGGGAGCTGTGTCAGCTTGACCTCCTGGGAGTTGGGAGGAGTTCCAGAGGTTTTAGTTAAGATAAAGGCAGCAGTGGGGTAACTGAAGTGATATGGTACAGACTGGAGGAGTATGGGGAGAGGGTAGCGAGGCATGCCAGACACTTCAGCCATATCTCTGTGTCAGCATCATGCCTTTCATTCCATTAGAAGTCTTCCCCTGCATTACTCCACTGTAGAACACGTGGTCTCAAGAGGTACAAGAATTCTTATGCGAGTAAATATAGATTCCATGGAGAAAGGCAATGACTCAAACATGTTTATTCCATTACTCCAGTGCCACTGACCATAATGATTTTGAAGAATCCTTTTATTCAAGGGCTCAAAAATATTGAGCGATGTAAATATATCTTTCCTAACATACTGTTCGCAAAAATTTGTAAATAATAAAAAATATGTTAAATGTACTTATGCTTTCCAAAATACTGTGAATACATAAGCTTCTATTTATAATACAGTATGAAGAATGATTATTTAAAGGAATTCTGTCATAAAATCTTGCATAGGTATAATACTAAACATGAGGCACAGAGTAATGATCAAATTAAGAGTCCTTTAATAATAGCCTGTGGTCGAATACTAGAAAGAACACTCCACCCTGCCGAAAGGTACAGTAGGATTTATAAAGCTTAAAACTACAATTATGTCATGCCAGGGGCAAAGCCAATAACCATAGTTACATCATATCACCACAGTTACACCAGACCAGGGGAAGACCACTTAACAAAGAAGTTTTCTGTTAACAATTTCTAAGTTTCAGTTAGGAAAACAAGTTTCTCAGAATTGCAGAAACAGTGATCTCCAGTCTATATAGCTGGGAGAGGACACGCTACCTGACTAGTTCTAAGTTTCCCAGTATTGTAGAAACAATGCACCCCCTGAGACTGCAGATGCAACCTTCATGGGACCAGTTCTAGCTCACTGGATGCAGCAGGAGTAGCTGGACAGAAGCACAGTGTAAAGCAAAAGTCAGCTAGAATAAAATTGAGTCCGTTTTTCCATTTTATAAGAATGTTCTTCTATAAAATATTTCTATTGTTTTTTGTTCTTCCAAGGCCCAACAGCATGCCTAGAGCTTGAGGTTCACAAAAAAAAGTTATATCTAGTTCATAAACCTAGAAAACACACATGAATCAAAGGGTATCATTTATTCATTCAACAAATATTCACTGAGTATCTACTACATGCCAGGCTCTATATTAGCACTTACTTAAGTCACAAAACCAAATTAAAAAGACTAAAACTCTGGTTCCTTGCTCTCTACTAGAGTACACAACAAATAATAACTGCAGGGTACTCTCCAGCAGAGGTAAGATGCTCGTGTGACTAGGAGTGTTCATGCACTACAGATGTCATAGTAACTTTTCACTGTTACAGAGGTAAACTACAATCAGTCACAAGTAGTGAAATTTGAAAAAAGCTCAAACTTTTCTGCTAGTCTATAAAAACATCCTCTCTGGTTGTGACTGACATTAAAATCCCATGCATCCTGCCATTACCTGCTTCAACTGTGATGTAGAGTCAAATGTTTTTCCAGATTATTACTTGAGAGATACTTTAATACAGGGGACATAGACAAGAAGTATGAAGAAATGATTACACCTTGGTATGCAATGAGGTTAAGCAGAAGTATGCTGGGATTAGCCCTCTATAATGGTACAAAAATATGAGGTTGGGTGACAAAGCTAAATACATCTCTGCTGTGCTCATCACAGTGCAGGCCAGCTTTTCCATCCCCACAGGCTCATTCACTGCTCAAGTCTTGGCACCTGTGACTTGTCATTCTGCCAATGATGCCAGAGAGAGCTTCTCTTAATACAAAACTTTTTAAGGGACATGTTTCATAAATACTAAATGCACTTCATCCTCTGTTGTTACATATGTATGGTTTCATTGTCTTTGTCAATCTCTCTCTCTCTCTCTCTCTCTCTCTCTCTCTCTCTCTGCCAGGCACATGCACTCTGCCAACTACAAGTGAAATGATGGATGACATCGATGAGAAAATGGGGAAGAAACTCAAATGGTAAGCAATTACACTTGCTAATCAATTATGCCCTAAAATTTCCCTTATATATAAAAAATTAATAAAGTCTGTAATATTACCTACAAGCACAGTTCACATTTCTTTAAATTCTTCATGTAATTGAGCCACATTAGGTGGGAAAACAGTCATTATTATTCCTTGTAACCTTGGAAGAGAGTAATTTTTGCCTTTCAGGGAACATATGACAAAATCTAAAGATATTTTTGTCCTTCCAAGTAGAAATGACAGCTAATAGATTCCTGTGTATAAGACACTGGGTGCTTCTAACCATCCCATTCCACAGAGAGCAGTACAGAAAACCAACAAATTTTCTGCCTCAAAATGTCAAGTAGTGCTGAGGCTGAGAAATAGCTCCTCATCGATCCATAAAAGCTACTCCTCTGGAAGAAAGTAGTTAGTTGGCTGGAAATTAGGCAGTAGGATTTAATTTGCTGTGATAAGAAATTCAAATGAAAACCTATATTGAGTTTAGCTACCTTAGTATTTTCAGTTAAAGAGAGTATTCACGTTTGATTCAATATTTGCTTTCAAGTACAGCATCAATGAAGTTTGTAGAGAATTCTCTAAGTGGCTAGATGGCTGATATTTAAATGTCCCTTTTCATGTTAATTATTCCATAAAAGAAAATTCTATTTAATTTGTATACCAAAAGCTACTGAAAGTGTAATTAAATACCAGATCATGACTTCAATGATAAATGACCATAGGATGTTTCTTTCCTCTTTCAAGCCTCCAACATATCATTTACTGAATGTCCCAGGGTAGATATCAGCTCAAGGGTATAGTGGAGAGAAGAAATGGCATCCTCATATGCCACCTAAACTCATGCAGTTCAAAGGGTACCTCTTAGAGGTGTGTACTCCTAGTGTTAATAATCAATGCGTCTTCATAGACTTTCCTTTAGGAGCCAATAAGAATAAAAAGAAGGGGAAATAAAGGTTTAAATTCCAATGCCATTGCTTCAGTGACAAGCTATTTAGCTTTCCTTAAATCACAGGAGGTTATATTCCAACTGAAAGGATGAAACAATTTAGCTGAGTACATTCTAAAACCATACAGTGTTAAAATCATACAAAATCTAAATTTTAAATAAACCAACATAAAATTCAACATGGCAGATTCTATACAATGCCATATAAAGAATAATCAGGGCTGGAGAGATTGCTCAGCAGTTAAGACCATTGGCTGCTCTTGCAGAGGACTCCGGTTCAGTTCCCAGCACCCACACGGCAGTTAACAACCATCTGTAACTCCAGTTCCAGCAGCTCTTCTGACCTCTGTGGGCATTGCATGACATGGGTGCAATATAGTCGTACACAGAAAATTTTTAAAAAGAGTAATCATTGGTACTAGCATTCAGGAAGCTGAGGCAGGAGGATTGCAGCAAGTTGGGGTTGTCCTGGTCCACATTAAAGAGTTTTAGACCGGTCTGGGTTACAAAGTGAGACCTAGTCCTAAACGAAAAAGTGTGTTAAAAAGTAAACTAAATGGGGTGGGGATGTAGTTCAATGGTACAAATACACTTGCCTAGCATAAGGGAGGCCAGGGTTTAGTCCCCAACACCACATATAAAAAAGGCAGAGAGTTAACCAAGTTAATCAGTTGCCTTGATCCAGAGGGTTGGTTCACTGTAGGTCATGTGGCCAAAGGTTAAAGATCAAAATTATAGCAAACTCAGAGATTAAGAAAGGAAGGAGGGAAAGAATACAACCCACCCAAAGAACAAATAATAAATTCTATTTTACTTGGAGAGATAAAAAGAGTATAACTGGACATGCTATAAGACAGAAAATGAAGTTTTAACACTTCAGTTTACGACTGTGATACTCATATCAATTTTGTTTTTCTGTCCTCAGGTTTGGCCAAAGCCATACTTTGCAGACAGATTACATCACATACATGGATGAGCTGAGCGCCTTCATTGGGGCCAAGCCTAACATACCCTGGCTCTTCCTGACTGATCCTCAGCTGGCCCTGGAGGTGTACTTTGGCCCTTGCAGTCCATATCAGTTTCGACTGGTGGGACCAGGGAAGTGGGATGGGGCTAGAAATGCCATCCTGTCCCAATGGAACCGGACAGTGAAGCCAACCAGAACAAGGGCTGTCAGTGAAGCTCAGAGGCCCCAGCACCTTCACAACTTGCTAAAAATACTTTCAGTCCCAGTGTTCCTTCTGGCTGTTTTGCTCACATTTTACAAATGATAAAATCTTCTGGGTACCAGAGTTCAGACCAGAAATGTAATCACAAAGTACAACATGCACATAGACACACATAATCACTACCGAGCCCCTCCTTTCCTTCCTGCAGTTGTAAAAACTGAACCCTGGATCATTTGAATCAAAGCATAAAAATAAAATGGAAAATACCCAGCCTATCTTTTTCTGATGAGAATCTGTTCGCTAACAGGCTTTTCACATGTTGAATTAAAGTTTAGGGATGCTTAAGATAAGGGAAAAAATGATGGGAAGTTGAAAAGGCATAAACACACTTTCAGGCTAAACAAAGTTTAATAAGCTTTTGAAGGGGTGTGGTGTCATATATTGTAGCATAGCAACCAACATGTTTTCCACAAAACTGACAATAAATGAATATAGGGACATCTTAAATAAAATGAGCAAATAACAAATTGGTTAAATGAGGGTTGGGTGTGTAGCTCAGTGGTAGAGTGCTTGCCTGATATGCACAAAGCCCTGCATTCAATACCCAGGACTAAGAAACAAAGGAAAACACATTTCCACCATGACCTTCAAAACCAAGATGACCTCACTCATGAATTTGATCAAGTATTTCAGAAGGAAATAATACTAATTATATAAAAACTCCACCAGTTACATAATGCTCAGCTCTACGCATGCATTCATGTACAGATATTGTACTTTTCAGTAGAGTTTTGAACTAATACATTTCCCTCTGGTTTTTCATACTACCTAAGCATTATTTATTATACATCCATTATGTATTAAGAAACAGTGCAAAGCAGGAGAAACCTCGCTTCAAGTTGTTAGGATAGTCCAAGAGACTCCCCAAATAATACAGGCTATCGCCATATCCCTTGATTGCCTCCCAGAACTTGAGGATAAGAATCTACTGCTGAAGACAGGCCATTCCTTGGACACAGGACTTGGAGCAATGGAGCTGGAACTGACCTAGAAGCCTCCTCCCTGAAGACTAGCTCTCATACTGTTGGATAAGACTATGCAAGCTGCCAAGGGAGAAAATCAGTCAGTGGTCCAACTCCAGCTTTAAAGCCTAATAACCACAGCAATCACCAGCACAGCAAATTATATTGTTGCAGTAGTGATATTTTCATCTTGGGGGTGATCAACAGCTATTCAATTGGACTTAAAGGCCGTTCAATGGAACTCATGTGTGGCACTGTAAACATACCCAAATACACGTGGCTGTAAAGATCAGAGCTCTTAGAGAAAACCCTACATCTGTCGCATCCCTAGACAAACATAATTTCTTACTGTATGATAAATACATATCTTTATATTTACAGACAAGTATGCCAGTCACCACTCATCAAAGAAGCTTCTTTTTGCAACAGATGGAGATTATTACAGAATTTTACAACTGGTCACACACAGAAAATAAGTGTCTTTGAGGTGCCCAGTCCTAAGTGACACATCTACAATGGAACCTAAGGCTCATGGAACATAGAGGAACAAGGGATAGAGAGAATAACCATGCAGCTCTCAGCTTTCACCAATGAAGCTTCCTCATGCAACAGAGAATGATGAACACAAATGGCCACAAATGGCCAAAGTGTAGAGAATAAGAGATTGCAGAGTGTATATCACTGCATAGGACTCCTATATTAATCCTGACCCACCCAGGGCTCAGGGACCATTGGGGAGGAGGGGGTGGAAAGATTGTAAGAGCCAGAGGTGGTACATGACCTTAATAAAACAGTCATTTAGGCTTCTGGGAACTTGCTCATATGAATTTACAGCATTGGTGTCAGCATGCACAAGACCCATGCAAACTCAATCAGACAAAAAACAGCATAGAGCTTGAGAAATGGACAGAAGACCCCAACTTTAGCCTAGGAATTATTGGCAGCTGATCACTGCTGGGTGATGATCCTCTTTAAGGAAACGATGCTAGATGGGCTGAAAAGGCTCCAATAAATGAACTCATACCAAGGGACATCTATCTGGGTATACAAACTTGACTCAGTAGGCCTTAACATATATGAGGGAATGTGTAAAATCCTGTGGGTGGGCTATGGGGGTGTAAATAGGGAGAGGGCCTAAATATGATTAAGATGCATTGTATGAAATGCACAAAAATTTAATTAAATATATAACTCCACCTGTAAAGATTATTCCTTAACTGGGGTTATGAGACTATCTAATACATAAAACAAAAACATAAAAGTTAAAAAAGATCAATATCCTTCATACACATGTACACATGCAAACATTCTTAACAAATGCAAAATATAATCCAATAAATTATAACAAATAAATAACTTACCATGGCCAAGTAGGGTTTATTTCAGGAATGTAGTGTTGGCTTAATAGTTAATATAATTCACCTTACAAATAAACTATAATAAAAATAAGGACACATATAAAATCTCTGCCACCCAAGGCTCAGGAACCATTGCAGAAGATGGGGCAGAAAGATTTTAAGAGCCAGAGGTGGTTGATGATCACAGGAAAAGAGTTTTCCAGGCAGCTGGGAAGTTACTCATACGAACTCACAGCAACAGTAACAGCATGCACATGACCCACAGAATTCCAGTGTAGAAATGGGGAGGTGGGGAAGAAGCCAGAACCTTAACTGAGAACTATTGACAACCACTATTGACAACTGATAACCTCTGGGAGAGGAAGAATTTGTTTTCTTTAAGGGTGTGATGCTAGATAAGTTAACCAGGCTCCAGTGTACGGATGCACACCAAAGGACATTTGGGAACACAAACTTGACTCAGTAGTCCTTAATATATATGACAGAGTACATGAAATCTGGCAAGGGGAGCTGTAAGAGGGGAGCAGATAGATTGAAATATATTGAATGAAATCCTCAAAAATTCAATAAAAAATATAAATAATTTTTTTAAAAAAAGAGTAATTGATCTTCTCAATTAGTGCAGAAAAGTCATCTGAAAAAAGCCAAAATCTATCTGATAAAAACTCTAATGAATAAAGACAGAAACTCCAACCTG